TTCTTCGGCAGTCAGCCATCTTTATGGTCCAGCTCTCACTTCCATACATTGCTACTGGAAAAACCATAGCTTTGACTATGTACACTTTTGTTGGCAGGGTGATGTCTCTGCTTTTTAAGATGCTGTCTAGGTTTGTCATGGCTTTGCTCCCAAGAAGCAGGTGTCTTACTTTCGTGGCTGCTGTCACCATCTGCAGTGATCGTGGAGCCGAAGCAAGTAAAATCTGTCACTGCCTCCATATCTTCCCCTTCTATGTGCCAGGAGGTGATGGGACCAGTGGCCATGATCTTAGGTTTTTTGACGTTGAGTTTGGACCGTTTTTGGCGCTCTCCTCTTTCACCCTCATTAAAAGGTTCTTTAATTCCTCCTCACTTTCTGTCATCAGAGTTGTATCATCTGCATATCTGAGGTTGTTGATATTTCTTCCAGCAATCTTAATTCTGGCTTGGGATTCCTCCAGTCCAGCCTTTCGTATGATGTATTCTGCATATAGGATAAATAAGCAGGGGGACAATATAGAGCCTTGTCATAGTCCTTTCCCAATTTTGAACCAATCAGTTGTTCCATATCCAGTTCTAACTGTTGCTTCCTGTCCCACATACAGTGGTGCCTCGCACAACGGTCGCTCCGTAGAGCAACGAATCCGCGCAACGATGCCGTTTTTGCGATCGCAAATGCGATCGCAAAACGGCACCTACATAGGGGAAAATTCACAGAGCGAAGGTCGGTAAGCGGTTCGCTTACCGACCTTCGCTTTGCGACCCGCCGATCAGCTGTTCCGCGGCTTCAAAATGGCCACCGGAACAGCCGAAAGGGGCCGGGGTGCAGCGTTTTCGCGCCCTTGGTAAGCAAGGGGAACGCGTGAAAACGCTGCGGAAGCCCCGAAATGGCTGCGCGCAACCATTTTGGGGCTTCTGGCAGCGTTTTCGCGTGCTCCCCTTGCTTACCAAGGGCGCAAAAACGCTGCGCCCCGCCATTTCGGCTGTTCCGGCGGCCATTTTGGACCCGCCGGACAGCTGATCGCAGTGTTTTCGCGCCCTCGTTCAGCGAGGGGAGGGCGCGAAAATGGCTGCCGGCTATACCGGAACATCGCACAACGGTGAGTATTCGGCCAAATTGGAACGCATTAAACCATGTTTAATGCGTTCCAATGGCTTTTTACTTTCCGTAGTGCGATGTTTCACACAGCGAGGGTTAATCCGGAACGGATTAACCTCGCTGTGCGAGGCACCACTGTATAGATTTCTCAAGAGATAGATGAAATGATCAGACATTCCCATTCCTCTAAGGACTTGCCATAGTTTGCTGTGGTCCACACAGTCAAAGGCTTTTGCGTAGTCAGTGAAGCAGAAGTAAATGTTTTTCTGGAACTCTATGGCTTTCTCCATAGTTAGCAATTTGGTCTCTACTTCCTCTGCCCCTTTGAAATCCAGCTTGTTCTTTTGGGAGTTCTCGGTCCACATACTGCTGAAGCCTGCCTTGTAGGATTTTGAGCATAACCTTGGTTGTGTGTAATATGAGTGTCTAGCGAGGATCAAATTGAGCTGATGCCAATGCTTGGATCTTGGATGTCTCCAGGAAACTCTGTATTGAAGCTTCATATTAAAGAACATATTGCTGACAGAAAGACCATAGTAACAGCAAAACTCCAGCAAGCGTTGGCCATTTTCGTTCATCTTCCCAATGCCAAAATGGCCTAGACAAGTGGGCCAAGAATTGCGATCAGCACCAGCTCTAAAGTTAAAGTCTCCGAGAATGAACAGTGGCTCTCTCTCTCTGGGATTTTTTTGATAGTAGCTGCCAGATTGTCATAGAATTTGACTTTGACTTCTGTTGTAGACAACAATGTTGGCACATATGCACTAATGAGAGTGACCGGTCCCACTGATCAGTGAAGCTACAGAGACAGGATTCTTTCACTCCCCACAGTAGGTGGAACAATGGATCTCAGCAGAGTATAGTTCTTCAAGTACATGCGTAGCAAAAGATAGAGAACAGTGATAGTTTCTCAGCTACTAAAAATGTTAACAGATGACAAAGAAAAGGCTAAAGAGAGTCTGTGACCTTCCTGAAAAATATGAAGTACAAGTGGAGGGAACTAGATTGCAGTTTGAGATTAATAAACAAATAGTCAAGGAATACCTCCTTACTTTGAATAAGTTAAAATGTCCACAGCTGGTTGAATTGCATCTAAGAGTATTGATGCACTTGGCTGAAGAACTTTCAGAACCAGCATCTATTATTTTCATGATTATTTTCATGAAATCATGGAGGATAGGTGAAGTGTCAGATGACTGGAAGAAGGCTAATGCACCATCTTAAAAAAGGGCAAAAAGGAAGAAGCACGGGACTGCAGACCTGTCTGTTTGACATCATTCCCAGAGAAAATTCTAAAGCAGTCACTGCAATCACCTTGAAAAGAATGCAGTAATAACTAGAAGCCGACATGGATTTGTCAAGAACAAATTCTTCCAGACTAATCTTATCTCATTTTCTGATCGGGTATCCTCTCAGTAGACAACGAGAATGCTGTAGACGTAATACATTTTGACTTCAGCAAAGCTTTTGACAAAGTGCCTTATGATATTCTGATTGGCAAGCTAACTACATGTGGGCTGGATAAAACAACTACAGTATCAGGTGTGTACACAGTTGGTTACAAAATGGTGTTCAGAGAGTACTTACCAATATCTCCTTCTCAAACTGGGAGAAGGTAAAAAGTGGGGCACCACAAAGCTCATTCCTGAGTCCAGTCCTCTTCAGGTTTTTTAAATCAATGAGATGAAGGACATGCCTATCAAAATTGTGGATGACACAAAATTAGGTGCAATCGCTAATACCCTGGAAGAAAGAAATTTCCAAAACATCTTGATAGGCTCAAGCACTGGGGTGAAAATAGCAGGATGAAATTTAATAGGGGTAAGTGTGAAGTTCTATACCTAGGAAAGAAGTCCAGTTGCCACAACTCAACTCTCAAATAACCGCACCTGGATGACTGAGAATTTTCACAGGTATATTCTACACCTAGGAAAAAGAAACCAGACACACAGTTAAAACCAGGGCACACTAGGCTCAGCATTATTACATGTGAGAATAATTGTTGTAGATCACAAGCTGAACATGGGCCAGCAGTGTGATGCAACTGCAAAAGAGACAAATTCTACTTTAGGCTGTATTAACAAGTATATTCTCCAAATCACAAAAAGTACTAGTTCCCCTTGAGTACTGTGTCCAGTTCTTGAGACTGCACCTTGAGAAGGATGTACTGTATATAAATTAAAATAAGTCCAGAGGAAGGCAACAAGACGATTAGGGGACTTGAAACCATGCCCTGTGAGGAAAGACTGAAAGAACTGGGCATGTTTAGCCTTGAGAAAAGAAGACTGAGGGAAAATATGACAACAGTCTGCAAACATTTGAAAGGTTGTCATACAGAAGAAAGGCAGGATCTGTTCCCAGTCATTCCAGAGTGCTGTATACATAATAATGGGGTCAAGTTACAGGAAACCAGATTTTGATTGAAAGGTGGTATTCACATAAACACAGATTTACGAACGTGCATGTGATGTAAGGCCTATTCTGGAATGAATATTTGAGGCTGTGATAAAATATGGCTTTTACTTGCAGTTAGGTCCAGTTTGGGGATGCTTCTTTCCTCAGCAACCACATGATGTACAGGCAATCACAAACCAGCCTGTCCCTGATCCACACTGACCTGCACCAATTTGGATTCCTGTCGTGGGCTATTTATTTATTTATTTATTTATTTATTTATTTATTTATTTATTTATTTATTTATTTATTTATTTATTTATTTATTTATTTATTTATTTATTTATTTATTTATTTATTTATTTATTTATTTATTTATTTATTTATTTATTTATTTATTTATTTATTTATTTATTTATTTATTTATTTATTTATTTATTTATTTATTTATTTATTTATTTATTTATTTATTTATTTATTTATTTGTTGTTGTTGTTGTTGTTGTTGTTGCTGCTGCTGCTGCTGCTGCTGCTATTTGTGCAGGTAAGATCACCCCATTTTGGTTAATTTCCAGTACAGTATGTGTGCTCCCTGGGATTGAACCAAATTGGAAGCCTTAATTTGTTGCATTGCTCAAAAAACTGATGATATTGGATGCAGGAAAGGAAGGCTGTTGTTTTAAATCTCTTGTAAGTTAGTGCTGATGCCACTTAGGGTTTAAAAAAATTGAAAGGAGGAGACAGGAAGAGGCAAAGGGGGTATCCTTTTTGATATTTTTTCTCCTTTATCCCACCCCCACTTTTCCCTTTAAAGGGAAGAAGAGCCAAATTTATTTTATTTATTTAATTTATATGCTGCCCACTCTACCCAAAGGTCTCTGGGTGGCATATAGTGTCACTTTGAGGTGCAAGGTGGTTTCCTGCCCCCAAACTACTGTACCTGATCCTTGCATATGGGTGCAAGGGTTGCCCTCAACGACATACTGCACTTTAAAGCGACCCTGTTTATGATGATCCAGCCCCGTGCAAGCTAGGATAATTCAGCCATCCACTCACACCCTTACTTGCACTGAGTCCATTTCACAAGCTGCCCCTCAGATGTCCGCACCAAGATCCACTCAATAGCCATAAGGAGCTGGGTTTTGTTTTCCTGCTATCTTGTGCAGAAGCTTACAGCCATCAGGGCAAATGTTAGTGTGAAATGGCTTCACGCATAATACAAAGACAGTTACAGTATTGACTTTATTTTTTGCCACGTGATGAAGAAAATCCTGGACATGTCATCAGTTTTCACTGTAACCCTCATGACGCCTTTCATCGTCATGTTTCAACTCAAATATGAACAGGACTTGCAGGGTTGTATTCCCCCCCCCTTTTTTTAATGGTTGGCCCTTGAAATGTAAACTTGATTTCTTCAACTGGCTGCCTTGCCATCACTTTCTCCCCTCCCCGCTTTTCTTCCCCCCCCTCCGTGTGTGTGCGTGTGTTTTAGCGCCTTCCACTCTGATGAATGGGATGCCTTTACTGACAGAGCACCGCGACTTTTCACACAGGTTTATTCCATGGATAAAGCGAGGCTGGGTAAGAAACGTGCCTCACACCCAGCCAGCCGGACAGTTCTCTTCCCCACTCCCACCTCTTCTTCTTCTTCGGGGAGGGTAACCCTAGAAACACGGCCTCCCTTTCCCCTCCCCATAAACTTCGCTCTCTCCCGCCTAGCCTCCGTCCCCAGGAGGGAATGGCCAAGGCGGCTGCGGCGGGATCTTGCCGCCTGACTTCCTCACCCCGCCGCCCGCCCTCCGCCCCACCGCCTCTCGCTCCTTCGAGCTCGGAGGCCGCTCCGTCGAGGCGGCCCCCTCAGCTCGGGGCCATGGCAGCGGCAGCCGCTCAGCCGTCGCCGCCGGTCACCTTCGTCCGGTGCGTGGGATCTGCTCTCTTCTTCCTCCAGATCGCCTCTGTCCGAGCTGACGGTGAGTGCAACGCTGCTGCTGCCGCCGAGTTGCCGATGGAAGTTGTCACGCTTCGGGGGGGGGGAAGGCTGAACGGGAACGTGGGCGTAGGTGGCTCTTTGGGGTTGGAAAATAAGGTGGGAGACCAACAGTTCCCGGCGCCTAAGGCTCAGCCAAGGAGGCAAAAATCACAGGGTTCTCTCCCCCCCCCCACTTTAAAGCTTATGGTTATATTTTTGTAAGTGCAGGACCCTGTCCGCCCGCCCCCTGCTCTGGGGCAACCAAGTACCATCGACTGCCTTATAGTGCAACTTGGCAGCATGCTCAGTGTATGTCTCTAATATAGTTCTCTGGAAACTGATTAGAAAGCAGCGGGTTTTCCTTGATTAGAGAGCGAGCTCAAAGCTGGTTCCGTCTGACCAGAGACAGCAACAGAACATGTGTTGCTGGAATCAATACCTGTTTCAGCCTTTTCTCTCTGCTGTGATTTGAATATAACCGTGGAGGGAAGATAGAAGACCAACATTATGATGATTAGCATCTTTCCCATTGATGATAATTATCGTTTCAACAGCTTAAACATAATTTATCCCCCCATGTTCAAACTGCCTAATGGATTTATTTCCTGATAGAATTGCAGTGGAAAGGGAAGTAACAGGAGTTTCACAGCGACAGATTAATTAATTTAAGCTCCCAAAATAAATTGACTGAATTCTACATTTGCAGATGCTATTGCTCTTAAATGTAAATGAAAATTGCCCACCTATCTCTCTTTGTAATGTATTCCAATTTCACTGAAACATTAAGAATCAGCATTGTATTCATTCATTCATTCAATTTTTATACCACCCGTCTAATACAGTGGCTACTCTGGGAGGTTAACATGTACAGTCTTTAAATAATTAACATGTCTTAAGTGATACCCTATTTATGTTCAGGAATGTCATTATCAAAATCTCCTATTCACTATTTACTACATGTTCTAAACTTCTGATGCAACAGCATTGTATCTTTCCCCCATGTCTACATGTTACTTAAAAAAATTAAAATAAAGATGTTAAAACTCTTTATTTTAAGTGGGACTTTGTCCCATGTGTAGAAAGAACTGCAACCTTCACTTGATATGTAAGCTTCCATTATAGAATGTTATCAGGCACAATGGAGAGACAAGTATGTTTTCCTCTGGGTAACAAATAGTTCAAACTATTTAAGGCTCTGGTCCTGATCCAACTCACTTCTTCTACACTCTGGCCATACAGCAGAAGGAAAAAAGGAAGCAATTGGAGATCAGTGAACAGATAAGGGCATCTGTACAGCCCCAGTTTAGACTGAGACCATGTCACAGGGAAGACAGATTGCTCTTGCCATTTTCCTGGTCAAAATCGCCCATGAAGTTGCTCTTTGTCCAGTGGTGTAAATATAAACCCTAGGAGGTCACTTTTAATTGGACAAATAGTACTGGAAGAAGCATGGTTAACATCTCCTAGTGATGTGGTCTCAGTTTGAAGCAGGAGAGGAGCTCTCCTAAGAGGTTATTAGAATTTTAAACAATGATGGGGTAACTGTTTTTTTATATATTCCAAAGTCCTGGGTCAATGTTATTTATTTTAGATCTTCTGCATCTGATCCAGTTTGGCCCTATGGTACACCTGGGAATTCAAACTGATCCTTGTCACTATTTTTTGATGTCTTCTAATGGCTTAGACGGCAACTCTAGACATGTCTTCTCAGAAGTAATTCCATTTGAACCCAGTACAATTTGCCTGCATGTAGTAGGCTGATACCTCAAGAAGCTGAAGGCAATTTCAGTAAAGGAGAAGAATTACCTCTTCTTGCAATCTACTATTTTTATTTAGTTGTTCAGTAGGTAGGGGTGACTGTATTGGTCCAAAAGATATAAACTTACATTTGGCAACCATGGCTGTTTTTCGAGACCTGGTCATCCCCAGATGGCATAATCAAAATTCAGTAGTGATTAAAACAAGCAGAAAATGCTTGCTAAAGTTAGTTTTCATGGTCTGCTAATGAAATTTGAGGGAGAACTGGGGAAACTGGAAAAAGAATTTCCTACTTGTAATGGCTTTTAATGATTTGTTACTGAAATTGGGGGTAGGAGGGCAGCAAGGATGTATGCAGCCCTTGGGAGGTCTCTAGGCAGGGCCTGATTAACCCCAGACCTAACAAAGCTATGCAAGTCCTGGTGTATAGAATTGCATCTTTTATTTAGACTTCCAAGATTAACAAAATAGATACACTGAATGCTGTGCTACAATCCAAATAATTTATATAACATAGGCTTCCTTAAACTCACCAAGGGCTTACTTCCAAGTAAATACGTTTGCAAACAGAGGACAAGTTTCACATGAGAAATTTGAATTAAATTAACAAGTTACTTCAATTTATTTCTGTGAGCATTTTAACATGAAGTTATGTTTAAGATTGCAACTTTTGATGGCAATCATAACCACAGGTATTAGGGAATAATTTCTATTGCACACAATGCAACAAGCTTCTGAATAAACATGCTTCTGGAGTAGATTGCAGATCCATAACATAAGCATAGTTACTAATAGGAACGTCCACCAGCTAGGACTTTAAAATGTGCCTCTTAGGTGCAGCTTTAGTTAATATAAAAATAATGTAAGTTTTTGTGTTAAAAAAATACAAAGGGTTGGATAAAACATTTTATTTAACATGCCTTATTTTGTTCTTTTGTTAGAGCTGAAATTCATCAGGAAGGCCTTTCTATTCTAAAAGACGATTCTGAGGTTTATATTTTAGCATTGCCCTGTGGATTTTATAAGAGCAATGTGAATTTGTTAGTGGCATCTACTTAAAGCACAAGATGGTCAGGTTCTCTACAGATGTTTTATTTTGCACTTAACCTGAATTTAAAGTTGTATTATAAAATTGCACTGTAAGCCTTGCCTGAATCATTGGAAACAACTAATGAGTAATTGGGAGTGGAAAATAAATATGAAATAGAATGGTTAGACCATAAATTGTGTTGTCTCAAGACACTTAAATTGGATTGCCAGGGGTTTTGTGTAGAGGGCTTGTTTGCCCCCAATGCAATAAACATTTAACTGCTAAATCTTTTAAACCTCTAAAGTTATTCCAATTCTGTTGGAATAATAAAAACAAAATATAACATAAATGATTTATAAGTCTACTGGTATAACTGGAATAAAACAATAAACAATAAAGCCTATGTCTATTTCTTAGTCCCAACGCAGGAGACTCACTGAACCAATTACTAAATGTAAGTCCCTATTGTGTATGCCTGACTGATTTAATGGGTATACTGTACTTAAATTGAGATTAGCAACTTTAAATGTATATCAAAATGACGTCAGGCATCTATTAGCAGAACTATGACTTTTTCCTGGGTTAGAAACCCATTCGTCACCACCCCACATGGTGCTTTTTCTCATCTCTTCACCTCTGCCAAGCATTTTCATTCTCACTGGGCTTCTATCACCCAAAGGGATTCGGCTTTTTCCATCTTGGCCTCAGTTAGAAACAACTTTGTCTCCTTTCATCCCAGAGCTGTGCTCTTTTGTCTTGGTGGACATAACCCATTTATATAAATGAATGTTAATTCTAGGTAATTATAGTTTATTCTTAGGTAATTAATTCTAGGCGATTATGTTTTATTCTTAGGTAATTAATTCTAGATAATTATGTTTGTTCTTCTTTAGCACAGCTAAAATTAAGTATTTTAATATGCATCATTATCTGGGAGTAAGCTGCCACTGAAAACAACAGGATTTACATCTGAGTAGATATGTCTAGGATTCCGCTGAAAATACCATTGATTTAAAAGACGGAAAATAGAACATAAATGCAAATCTCTAATCTAAATCAATGTGGTCCTCACGTGCACAACTTTGGCTCTCATATCCATAGCTGTAGTTACAAAGGACTACATGATTAAGTTAGAAAGGAACTATAGAATAATTCTTAATACAGTGGGCCCTTAACTTACAAACTTAATCCGTTCTGGAAGGACGTTCGTACCTCGAAAAGTTCGTAAGTCGGAATACCATTTCCCATTGAAATGCATGGGAACGGAATTAATCCATTCCAGCATTTAAAAAAAAAACCAAAATAAAAATAAAAAGAGCAAGCCCCACGTTGGGACTGCACACACACACACACACACACACACACACACACACACAGAGAGAGAGAGAGAGAGAGAGAGAAATATAACCCCCCCCCAGTCCAAACCAACCCTCCAAAACCCACACAGAAAAGTTTTTTTAAAAAAGGACTTACCAGTCCAAAGCCTGCCGGTGCTCTGCTGCCTCCGTGCAGCCGGGGGCGAGTGGCCAAGCGCCTGGCCAGCTCTAGCCTCCCAGCGCTGGGTGAGCTTCGGTGGCTCCGAAGCCAAAACGGCAGGGAGAAAGGGAGGGAAATTCAAATTTCCTGCCCTTCCTCTGGAGCTTTCAAAGGGCTTCCTCCGATGTCGGGGAAAGCCCTTTGAAACCTCTGAAGGCACCAATCGCAGTAGCGGGGACCCCCAGGGAGGTCTCCCATGGTGGCGGCCGGCCAAGCCCTGGGAGCCCTCCCTGGAGATCCCCGCCACCGCGATCGGCAGCTTCGGAGCTCTCAAAGGGCTTTCCCCCAACATCGGAGGAAGCCCTTTGAAAGCTCCAAAGGCAGGGAGGAAGGGCAGGAAATTTGAATTCCCTGCCCTTTCTCCCTGACTTTTTGGCTTCCAAGGTTTTAAAGGGCTTTCTCCAATGTCGGGGGAAAGCCCTTTGAAACCCCCGAAGCCGCAGATCGCGGCAGCGGGGATCTCCAGGGAGGTCTCCCAGGGCTTGCACGCCACCATGGGAGACCTTCCTGGGGGTCCCCGCTACCTCCTCTTCCTTTTATTGATAAGCCTTGCAGAGATTGATCCTTTAATTATAATACTGATAGTACTGCTTTGGGTTTGCAACTGTTGGTATCTAGATTTTATTTAATGTGGTTGTTGGCACTTGTAGATGATGTTCCTTTGATATTGCTGTTAGCCAATGTAGAGATCTCGGAAATGGAGAAAATGTGGTTCACATTTTATGAGTGATGTGAATGAATGAATGGATTCACTGCAGAGTGAAAGGTCTCTTTGTGTTATATATATATATAATATTAGGTTTAACAATGATGGACTTTTAAGTGAGTATCTAAAAATGTAAACTAGAAATGCAAAAAGCAGCCAGTGTGTTGTGATGAATAAAATGTCGGATTAGAACTCAGGAAACCTGGCTTCAAATCCTCATTTGGCTTTGAAATGCTGAAACCACTCCTTAAATATTTCACCTGCGTACCTTGATGTACGTAAGTGATAACATAAATGCAAAAAATAAAAACAAAACAAAAATCCAAAACATTTATCCTAGCATGTCTTACTTTCTTTTTTTTTTCACAATTCATTGCAGCAAAATTTCATTTGTAATTTCTTGTTTCAAAACAAATTTTACACCAGCTGAACCTACAGTAGGTCTATCTGTAGTTACGTACTTGTACATTTTATCTGTGGATTCACTGGGTGGATCATAGTTCAAGCTGGGGGCTCACCCTAAAGTAGCAGAGTAAGGGTCCTTGGATTAGGGGCCCCAGTGGTGTTTATGCACACACGACTGTAATAAATGTGCTAGTTTTTAAAGATGCCATTGATTGCTATGGATACGGTATCCCATCCTATTCATATTTACTAAAATGCCTGAATCTAAATGAGATGCTTGCACATCTCTCATTTGCAGTCTGTGTACCTTTTTGACGGGCACCCAATACTTACCTGTGCATGTGGCTGTCAGTTGTCCATTCACTGTATGTGCCATCTGGATGCAGCTGTGCTTCTCATGAACCAGAATGTCCACTGATTGGCCAGGAGAGGCAGGATGTTGAAAACACCCTTATAACTCTGCCATTAACTGTTCCTGTCATCACAGGACACTTCTGTGTCTCCCCTAGCCAAGAACCTTCCCAAATTAGCTTGTGGAGCTTTCTGCTATAGGTAAAGTTAAAGGTTCCCCTTGACATTTAGTCCAGTCATGTCTGACTCTAGGGGGCGGTGCTCATCCCTGTTTCCAAGCCGTAGAGCCAGCATTTGTCCATAGACAGTTTCCATGGTCACATGGCCAGCAAGACTAGACATGGAACACCGTTACCTTCCCACCGTGATGGTACCTATTTATCTAATCACATTTTACATGCTTTTGAACTGCTAGGTTGGCAAGAGCTGGGAGCTCACTCCATTGCGTGGATTCGATCTTATGACTGCTGGTCTTCCGATCTTGCAGCACAGAGGCTTTTGCAGTTTAACCTGCAGCGCCACCGCGTCCCTGATATCCATCATATTGGATGTCAGCCAATGAATGGGACTTTTCTCCTAGGAAGTGTGTATAAGAATGTAGCTTCCTACAGGCTGCCTTCTAAAATAGTACATTAATCTAAAGTTAGTAAGAACATTCATGAGCAGCAAAGGGCAATTTCAGTGGTCTTGGTGAAAGTTTTTCCCAGGATCCTCTGGGGGGCAAATTGACTGCATCCAATCCCAAATGCCAGAAATAATGAAGGGTTGGAGGTCCATATTTAGATTAGAAAAACGAAGAGTGAGGAGATTACATGGTGAGGCCTGTAATCTGTTTAAAACCTGAATTGCCTCTCTTGGGGACTTCCAGGTATGACAATTTTTTAAACCTTTTCCTTGGATAAGGTAAATTGTATTATTCAAGTGGCTTTCCATTGGAAAAGGTGCAGGAAGGCATGGTCTGGGGTGGTACAAACAGCTTTGGAGGACCATATTTTGCCACCTCGTTCTAGAGCATCTATAAAAAAAAATCTGTTTCCAAAGTCATTGAAGGTTCTGAACTGTGCATTTAATACACTTCGGTGTTTCTTGCCCTCTAGGAAAAGTGTTTGCCCTGGGGCCCAGGAATGGCTCCCACAGTCTGGATTTTGCTATGGCTCAGCAGTCATGCACTGCCGCGGGAGCTCGCTTAGCAACCAGAGAAGAACTGAGAAGAGCCATAAGAGATTGTTCTTTCGCTGTGTGCACCAAAGGCTGGTTGGGTGATGGCACAATTGGGTAAGGATAAAAGTATTAATAAAAAAATCTCCTGTAATTACCACAAATGTTCCCCTCAAAATATTATTATCTAAGTTTCTTTAGCCGCATTATGGTTAAGAAATGCTGGTTATAACAGGGCCATATTCTGACTGAAGCATGGGATACACAAGATTGTCATAAATATGCATTACGTAACGTGTGGAATATAGTGGATATTTAAAAAATCAAGCAAGAAAATTCTAGTAAAAGTGGGGGTAAAAATTCAGTAGAATACAAGAACTGAACAGAATACAGCAGAAACAAAATAAGGATTTGGAACATCATTAATCATGTGTACATATTTTTCTGGGAGCTATTTTTAGGGATTAGAGATAGGTTTGTTCAAAGATGGTCTTTATCAGTTTTGGAATAACATTTTTTGGGATGAATTACCCATTTAATTGACATACATAACCTTTCCTATTTACAAAATGTATGGCAAAATTACAAAATAGATTACCATATACAGCATAACTCAGATTCTTTCTTAATTTGTAGAAATTTGTGTGAATCTTCAGTGTACTTACAGTATCTTGTATGTAGCAGATAAGTCCCATTTGCTCAGATCAGCCAGGTGCATTCAGCTGTTACATGTTAAATATGAAAGGAAAAGTTGGTGTTCAAAGAACAATAATACTTCAAAAGGAGATCAAGCAGTTTTGAAGGGGAAAATCATTCCAACAGTACCATGAGAATTTTCACTTGGTTGACAGGCCTCCTCCCACAGAAAAGCAAAACACGTTTGACCACTGTGCACTTCAGCCCAGTATGCAAAGTGATATACAGTATGTCCACATTCCTACAGAGATCTTGCAAACATATTATTTTTGGCTAATATGTTTAAAATGTCACCTCCCTGGCAAAACCCAGTAGTGTTTCAAGTACATAAATATCAGGCTCATAATGAGAGTAAAGGACTGAAAAAGAACAAAGAAGCTACTCCACGTGTCTCGGGTTAATACCTCTAAAGAAACTCAATGTATCATATTTTGTGTTGGGAACCTGTGTGAAAAACCAGGACAAAAATAGAAGCTGACAGTATCAAAGGCATCAAAGAATAGGGCAAATGGCTTTAAAATGGATGTCTTGCACTTAAACGTGAAGATATTGAGGGTGTGAGAAATAATTTAGCTTCTTGTGAATCTCATCTTGTTTCTTTGCTTTCTTAATAGCAACTTTCTAGCACTGATGCTCAAGAAATTGTATAAAGAGTTAATCAGAAGTCAGAGAAGAAGATGTCTATTGGCTAGCTTTGAGGGCTTTAGCACCCTGTAGAGCTCCTTGCCCTTCTTCATGAATAAAATTAATTACAAAAATAAAATGATTGCTTTGTTTTGCATTGTTTCCACAGGTTTCAGAAATAAAATTTCAGTCAAAATGTTGTAACATTAGATGTTCTGCTTTGTATGTACTTGATAAAGAAATTAAGAAAAAGAAACTAAGCATAGAATCATAGAATTGTAGAAAAGTGAAGTTGGAAGGAGCCTACAAGGCCATCAAGTCCAACCCCCTGCTCAATGCAGGAACACAATCAAAGCGTATCTGCCGGATGATTATCTAAGTTTCTCTAGAATGCCTCCAGTGTTGGAGCACTCACCAACTCCCGAGGTACATACATAAACTTTATTGTTTCTAGTCATACGCCTTTACAATGTACAGACTACTGTAATATATAAAATCCAATTAAAACAGGTAATTGCCGTAAAACCAATAAAACACGGTCTAAGACTGTTGTCACGACATATGACATCAGTCCACTGTATTTGGACTGATGTCATATGTTGTGTGGCATTTATATGGCATTATGATCCTTGACAAATCGAAATCTCAGGTTCTTAGCTGCCAGTGCAAATTGTGCTACAGCATATGTAATGTACAATGGCAAGCAATCCAACTACTGTTTCAGTGGTGGTACAAGTAAGATACATCTGAATGATGGGTGCCGGAAATCTTTAGGATTTTTATAGAGAAGACAAAACAGTAAGTAGTGAGTTAAATCCTCAGTCTGGTTGCAGCGAAAAACACATTTTCATTCCGCAACTGGAATTCCTTTATATCTCCCTTCAAGGTATGCTGATGTCCAAATCCAAGTTCTGTAAAAGCTTTGCGAATCTGGGGAAAAGTCAGTGACTCAAAATATTTTGGTTTTGTGTGATTCACCTGAAGTTGGGGGTACCAGATAGAAAAACGAGACCCAACAATTGCTGCCCTATCCTGACTAGCATCAAGGTCAAAGATCCAGTTTCTAAGGTCACGGGAGCTTAAACTAAGGAACTTTTCCATCAGAAGATTGTAAACTTTAATTTTTGGTGACATTGTTGTGCCCATCCACCCAACTTTAGTTGTTCTAGTGACGTTGGAAGGGGCCTACAAGGCCATTAAGTCCAATCCCCTGCTTAATGCAGGAATACAATCAAAGCATATCAGCCAGGTGATGATCTAAGTTTTTCTTGAATGCCTCCAGTGTTGGAGCACTCACCAACTCCCAAGGTAACTGGTTCCACTGTCATATTGCTCTAACAGTTAGAAAGTTTTTCCTGATATTCAACTGAAAGCTGGCCCGAAACTTGAGCCCATTGTGGCGTGTCCTGCACTCTGGGATGATGGAGAACAGATCTTGTCCCTCTGCATGACAGCCTTTCAAATATTTGAAAATGTTATCATATCAACCCCAAACCCCCCTGTCTTCTTTTCTCAAAGCTTGGGTTTCCAGCCCCCTGATCATCCTTGTCACCCTCCTCTGTTCCAATTTGTTAGCATCCTTCTTGAAGTGTGGTGTCCAGAACTGGACACAATACTCAAGGTAAGGCCTAACCAGTGCTGAATAGAGGGGGACTAGCACCTTGTGGGATTTGGAAACTATACTTCTATTTATGCAGCATAAAAGAGCTTTTTTGGGGGGGCGGGGAGCCTGCATGTCAGTCTGGGTTGCTGTTGAGAAGGAAGAAGAGATAGTAGCCCCCATTTAGAGTTTCTCATCAAGGAGAAAAATATCCAAAGCTAGGGAATGTATTTCGGAACATGAGGCAGAAATTCATAGAAGTTCCACTCCTATTTCTTAACAGTAAAAATATGATAGAAACACATGAAACAATAATGATTTTAGTCCCCTTTCATAGCATTTGCAGTCTGCTATCTGGTGATTTGTCTCAGAATTCCAAATGCGAGGCCCAGCCCTGGACTCACTCAGTTACCTCCACATTTAAAATAGGGTATTTTGCATCTGCTTAGTTTTGGTGCTCCTTGGTATAAAAGGCTAATGCCAGTAGACAGAAAAGGAATCAGGTTCCCCAGTTTTCTTTTTTTGATCATCTGGTGCATTCTTGCACAGCTTATTGTCTTTCTGTCCTCTTCCCCCTGTTTTAGGACAATTGTGTGCAACAGGACAGGTAGCAAGCCACAGAGTGTGAAAATGATCGATATTCAGATTGAAATGGATCCCTCTCTGAGTGACAGATACAATGCAATTTGTGTGAAGGCTGAAGGTCAGTGCTAATATACTACTGAGTGTGTGACTAAATTGTCAAATACTGCAAGATTTGCTCTGATTAAAAAATGGGTATATTCAAAAGATTTTTTGAATATTTTAAATCTGTCCAGGGCTTTTTCTTCCCAACTTAGCTTTTTTTCTTTGCTGACTGGTCCCTTCTACTTTTTCATTCTGGAAGGATTTGTATGGGTTTTTCCTATGCATTCAGTCTTACAAGATGTGCCTGTGTTTGTAGATACTGATCCTTCCTTCCTTCCTCTAGTCCCACCTCTGGCTTTCCCTTTATAAAGCAGCTTGGTTTTCAAATACATACATTCCAGGGCATCAGCGTTAATTTTTTTATATATATAAGCAGCTTGGTTTTCAAATTCATACATTCCATGACATTATATATATTTGTTATATATTATATATATTTGTTATCATATATGCATCTTTTTCCATTTCTTTATTTATATACATACATTCCAGGGCATTACATTTATATATATATAAATTTGTTGTAAAGCAGCTTGGTTTTCAAATATATACATCCATTTATTTTATATATATAAATGGAATGTATGTATTTGAAAACCAAGCTGGTTTACAACAAACCATGAAAGGAAAGCCAGAGGCAGGACTAGAGGAAATAGGGAAATAAGTGGGGCTGTGGGATGGAACACCATCCACAACACTTATAGTGTGAACACTGAACTCATGAAACATTCTGCAGCCCTGCACTGTTTACAATTTTTAAGCACAATGCAGGCTTCAAAGTGAATCAAAACAAAGCTGAGTCCTCCCAATTCCTACCCTATGAGAATCATTATAGCAAGTCAGATCAAAAATGTTTCCTTTTTTCCTCAGTCCATTAACAGTTGAGAGGAAGCCATTTCTTACATGATCAGGATGACACAGAATGACTCCTATTCAATTCAGATTCTTGCTAAAATCTTTCAGGGTTCTAGATAAAACATTCTATAGCCATAGTTAGAAGGGAGCCCCTTTGCCCAACTAATCTAGTCTCACAAGAGTCTAGTAATAATTTGGTAACAGATGTTTTGTGTTAAAGAATGAGGGCTTGTTTACATGTGGCAATTGGATCTGGCTGGATCTAGCAATTGTGGCAATTGGATCTAGATACAGTTGCTAGAGGTTGGGTCAAGGTCTGGAATGCCACGTGCTGCGGTCCTTGTGGCCAAATGCCATGTTGTTGTTGTTTAGTCGTTATGTCGTGTCCGACTCTTTCTGAACCCATGGACCAGAGCACACCAGGCCCTCCCGACTTCCACTGCCTTCTGAAGTTTGGTCAAATTCATGTTGGTAGCTTCGATGGCACTGCCCAACCATCTCGTCCTCTGCCGTCCCCTTCTCCTCTTCCCCTCACACTTTTCCAACACCACGGTCTATGCAGTATTTTTCTTTGCAGCATCGGACTTCCCTTTCACTTCCAGGCACGGCAGCAGCTGAGTGTACTTTCGGCTTTGGCCCAACCACTTCATTAGCTCTGGAGCTACTTGTACATTAGAATGTTGGACGCCTTCTGACTTGAGGGGCTCATCTTCCAGCATCATATCCTTTAGCCTTTAGCCTTCTGTCCATGGAGTTTTCTTGGCAAAGATGCTGGAGTGCCTTGCCAGTTCCTGCTCCAGGTGGATCGCGTTTAGTCAGAACTCTCCACTATGACCTGTCCCTGCACTGCATAGCCCATATCTTCTCTGAATTACTGAAACCCCTTTGCCACAACAAGGCAGCAATCCATGTAGGTTACCCATGCATATGCACCTCAAATGACCCTATTTGATCCAACTCCTTCCACTATCAATTTGCCATACCTTGAAATACCTTACAAAGAGAGTAACTCCAGGATATTTACAAATTAAACACTGTTTTTCCATGCTGGCGCAGAGGAAGTGAAAAAAATCATTGGACTATATTGCAGCAGCATAGATATGTGCATTACTTTCTTCTGAAAAATATTAGAAAACTTTATTTAAGAAGTGGGAGGAGACAGGAGTGTGGAACAAGGGACATTTTGTCCCTTTTAAAAACTTGGTTGAGAACCTGCCCACAACCAAATTTACCATGGCTTGCAAAATTGTTGTTGCCTGCTGGAAGCCACACTTACTTTCCTCCAGACAATCAGGGGAATAGATGTTTTAAAGCCTGTAACTGGACAACAAGGCTTAAGTTGTCCATTGGCATAGTTTTTGTCCAATGACCATGAAGCTAAACCAGTATCATAGCACCGCTTCCAAGAAAAGGAGGTATATCATATCTTATATTCTAATTATTAGTATTAGTGAATACTGATATCCTGGTATTGCTGACTGAAGTGTGGCTTCCTAGGGACATAATGAGGCGTTTATGTAAACTGCACTTTGGGTTGGATGTAAGCCGTTAGCAGAATATATAGAGACTTGAAATCTAAGAACATCACATGTGAGTGATGTAGAAGTGAATGAGTAAAGTTGGAAAGCTTTACATTTTACAACCTTAACCCAGAACATGGCTATCAGTAAACTTCCTTATACTAGCAGATGTGGCCAGGAACAGGCATTTAGGCCCAAATTACATTGTGGTCCTTAAGCGACCACTTGCATATCACCACAAACTTCTTATAGTGAGGTAAACTGTGATCAGATGATCTGTGTTCTTGCTTAGGCTGCTGTCTAGGTGCATGGCTAGCTTCAAGGCTCCTTGAGGACACCTATTGAACACATGGCATGGCAAGCACCCCTGTTATCATCTCTATCTTTTCTAAATATTTTTCTTAGGGACAAACTAGATGTACAAAAAAATTGGTAATACCACTGTGAATCTATTTTTTTTAAAATTTGCTCCTTTAATGTGATTCTTGCAGAGATACATAGCTAGCCAATGACATGTGCAGATGAAATTTGTGTTTTGTTTCCACTGAGCATAATTATGTTCAATGGAATGTGAGATATAGAATTCAATTTAAAGTGTATGTTATATCATAGATCTTTCTCAGCACTTATGGATGCTCCATTTCTAGGTTTGTGCAGACTACATCGTCTCGTTCCAGTTTCTGATAAACTTTGTAAAGACTCCTGTGCTGACTGTCTAACTTTCCCTCATTTCTTCTTCATTTGAGTAACTCGCCAGGCTATGAGACAAGCAAGTTTCCATTTTGAATATCAATTATAATTTGGTGCTAGTGCAGCAAATGTGAACAGCACAGGATTTGCTTAGCCCCTAAAAGGAAAACAAACTTTGCTATTTGCAGGGAAAAAAATTCTTAGAAAAAGGAAGAAAAGATAAATTTTGTAGGTTAATTTTCTTTAAGCAACAAAAAACAGAAAGCATTGGAAGCATTTAAATGAAAACACAAGCCATGTGAGTGTATGTTAAAATAGCAAACAGAACTAAATTTGTTCTGAATAAACACTTGGATCACTTGGAAGACTGTTGCATGAATACAATTTTCATGTCTTCAGTATTTCAGTTTTCTTTTCTCCCTCTCCCCATCTTAAGTCTTGAATTTAGCTGACATTTAATTTCTAATTACTTAGTGATACCAGTGAAATTAATGAATGAAAATATTTTAAACTACCCTAAACTAATGACTAAGTCTTACATTTTTATGTTGGTACAGTACAAAATGCATATTAACTGCATAATAACCGTGGTCGACATAGAATGGGAGTCTATAGAATATACATTATAATAACCGTGGTCTTTGCATGTGTGTGAATGTCGGATTTTAAGATCCAAACATTCTTGTTACACTTCTTGACAGTCTCCCATTCAGCATAGAATGGGAGTCTATAAAATATACATTATTCTCCTATTAGTGAGAAATGCCAAGAATGACATGCCATAATCTCGTTTTGAAACCATACATGATCTGGTACATCTGTTGCTGTAACCAAAGACCAGTAATATTTTTAGCACTGAAAATAAAATAAAACAATTATGTTTGTATTCCCCCTCTCCCGTTATTTTTGGCCCTACATAAGGATTCTAAAGTGGGGAACAATGGAGACTTTGCAGAAATCCTGTAAAAGTCTGTGATTATGATTTCCTAAGATTCAACTGTACATCTCCTCTGTGCTCAATATTAAAAGTGCAACTACTTCCCACTCATGTTGCTCTCCTATAAATATGTTTGCTTCTTTGCACAGGCAAACCATGCGGAGATCCTCCGTCTTTTCCTCATACTATTCTGCATGGACACACTGGTTTTGAAATGGGAGATGAACTGCACTATATCTGTGCCCAAGGATATGTCATGAGTAACAAAGATACAGCCTTCACTCTGCTCTGTCACACTTGTGGCGAATGGTTTGGTCAAGTCCAGGCTTGTGTCAAAGGTGGGTCCCATGAATTGAGTTGAGAGTATTGTATGAATATACCGGACTGCCCTTTGGTAAGCTAGAGCCCATGTTTTAATATTTTCCTTAAGTAGAGATGTTTCCTTCTGGTATTGCAGGTGGCATTTTGTTTGGTTCTGCTATGCTAGTTAGGTGAAAGTTCTGCACTATAAAAAGAGTTACACTTTGCCTACACATCCTATAGAGTGATCGGTGGTACCTTTCCAAGGCAATGTGCATAAGCAAATTTTTTAACTAAGCACTCTCTTGTTATGCATTGTTTGCCAAAGGTCTAAATCCAATTACTAGTCTCAACTAAAGTAGACCCCTTGACTCAATTGCTAGATAATGAGTCAACGCTTATATAAATCTCAGTGCTTCAATGGATCTACTCTAGTTGGGACTACCTATTGAAGTCAGGCCAGTGTCTTTAGTTGTCAGTGTCACAAGAATGGTGCAATTTCAGCAGATTGCTGGGATGAAGTTGCCTTTGCATGCCCTTTAAAACCTATTTCAAAATATCCATGTAGGAGCCAATATTCTGTTGCCTCAAATAATTCAACATTCATGCCAACAACCTTAATTTTGCACATGAAATATAAAAGAAAGAAAATGGAAAGCTACCTGTCTTTAACATGAAAGATTACACATGGACCCATGTGAATTAATCCCTTACTGTACATGGATACAAGGAATCTCTACCTATGACTTCCACTCAGTCCACAATTAAATGTAAATTCTTTATAATACGTGGCATGGAAAAAAAAGGATGAGCTTCTTGAAATATATCATAGCATGTGATCTTATTGGCATATTCTTACTAATGATTGTTTAAACGCACACTCCAAAGGATTTTTGAAAGGGAAATGCATGTGGGGTGTCTCAGAGCTGTCTGGACTGTGCTGTTATCCGGAACCCTCCAAAACAGGTGCTAATTGTCAGATAGAGGAAATTAATTGCATTAGACTACAACTGTTGGACTACTGACTAAGAGTTCTGGCCATTGTAGCACAAAAAAAAATCCACTTCTCTGCTTTTTGCTATCAAACTCCTTATGACTTACAGGATGGCCTAATAGCCATTTCCATTATATGTGCAAAGTTCTAAAAGCAATTTTTAGCCTCGTTTCCTGTCTTCGCTCTGGAAATTTGTGGCTTCAAAAATAATAGGATGGTTCCTTAAATCAATGTAGGTTTTGGCCTTGATAGAACCAAATCAACACAAGCTAGCTCAGAACTGACCTTATAAAGCCACATCCTGATACCGATATGTATTTCTAAGAAAAGTAAAAATAGCTTCACTAAAATGGCATGGTGATTAGGTTCGCAGACAGACATAATAATTTTTAAAAGAGTTTCTTCATATTTTCCCTCCTTTCTTTTTACTGTGCTTGATGCTGTTCAATAACTAAAATCCAGGATTGAGAGAGTATTTTAGAATTTCCTTCTTAACATCTCAATGTTTTTCTAGAAGTATCAGACATCTAAAAAGTTATTGCTGGAAGAACTTTCTGTGTTCTTCAGTGGGGAAAAATAGGTTACCCATGAAAAAACTAAGATAAGTAAAACAGCACAAATCTTCCAGATTTTGGAAAGGAACAAAATGTGCACTGGTTGAAACTGTTGACTTTCTTTACAAGCCTACATGTCTTCTCAAAAATGTCTTCTGCCAAGTTCATTGAAGTTTACTTCTAATTAAAGTGCTTTTAGGATGGCAGCTTATATTTAGAATCAGGATTGTGTGCGTGCGTGTGTGCATGTGTTTTGTTGCCATTTTATACGTATCTATTCAGAAGTAAATCCGATTGTATTTAGATGGACTTAATCCAAGGAAAAGGATTATAAAATTGCAGTGCTAGGAGTGTTTCGATAATAATCCTTGTGGTGTTTGCCCTTGTGGCCCCTGCTTGTTTTTCCCACACAAAGGCTCACGTGGCATTTTCTTCTCGCTGCCACCAATGGATTACCTCAATCCACAATATAAATGAAGTTTGTCAGAACACTTGTTTTGTGAACAGAAACAGAATTTATTGAAGTGAAGCAGATTGAATAATAACAGAAGTTTCTCAAATACACATTATACATAAGCAAATCATCAACAGTTCTCAGTACATACTTGTCTCTTGCAATCCCATTACCACCGTCTCTACCTATTTTCCCAATCAGCTGTATCTCTCTGATTAACCCTATCTTTCTCAGTATCTGTTCCCTCTCTCTGACTAACCAGCCCTATCTCTATCTGCATCTCATCCCAATCTCTGTCTGACCCCTCCTTCTCCCGCCAAGCCTCCTGTAGCTGCTGACTCCGCCTCTCCAGTCCTCTCATAGGTTCATGCAAATCAGCTCATGAATATGAATGGCATGAGTGACCTGGGAGTTTGCCACAATCCTATTTTGGGTTATTCCAGAATTAAAATATAACTGCAAAGTTATGGTTTAATTGTACTCTGTGTGAATTCAGCTTCCCAATATATAATATAAAATTGTGTCCTTATGTGCTGGCCAATTTGCATTTGATTTATAGCAGTGCTAACAAAATTTCCAAAGTATTTGAGATAAGGAATTGTATTACCCTTGCCACATCCCAGTGACTTTCCATGGCTGAGTGGGCATTAAAACCCAGGTCTCTTTAGTCTTGGTTTCTCTGTTCACTACACCACATTGCTCTCTAATGATCAAACTGTATTAAAAGTACAGTATGTGTAATTTTGAACACAGGAAGGAAGGAA